TAACTGCTTCTGCCTGCCAGCCTGATCCCATGCCAGCCTGATTAATGTCTAACTGCTCCCCTGCCAGTCTGATTGTCCCTCACTGTCCTCCCCTGCAAGCCTGGTCACCCCTAACTGCCCTCCCCTGCAGGCTCCTGATTGGCTGGTAGGCATGGCTAGTGGGTGTAGTGGAGGTAAGGTCAATTTACATATTACTCTTTTATTAGATAGGGTAGTTTTACGATGTGGAACCTGACCAATACTTTGTACTTTGGGAGGAAAAAATGAATTTCTGTTTAAATAGTTCACATATAGATTTTTTTGTGTTTCCTCACATACTGATTTATTTCAAACTTCTAAACTTCAACCAATAAGTTTTCTAAAAAAATTGTTTGGAAATATTCAATTCTGATGTTTTTGAAATAATCTACTTTCATTTATCTCAGTATCTTACTGGTTGGCTCTCAACCCTAATCTTTTCTAATGCACAAATCCTAGTTCTAGCCTATTAGAAGCATACATCTGGAAATTATGACATTTTCATCGTATGTCAGGCATTAAGATAACTCTATAAATGTCTAACCACTAAGCTGTATACCTGAAATTAATATAAAATAACATTGAATGTCAACTGTAATTGAAAAAAAAAAAAATACCCCTATGTGCTCTACTTGGATGTTTAACCATCACCTCCAGACTCTGAATGTTCAAAATAAAATTCATTCTTTCATTAAAGCTGATTTTTCTTCCTAACTACTCTTTTTATCACTCAATTCAGTATCCTCTTCAACTCTTTCGGTTCCTCCATATGCTATGCTATATGCAAATCTCCCTGCCTTTTGCAATTCTATTCCTTCTAGTTAGAATTTTCTCCTTCAGATGAGAGCCAAATACTTCTTTGTAAAACCCGTTAAAACATCTTTTTATCCCCAGATGTATCCAAAAGAAGGTTATGTTTAATAACTGTTGGAGCATTTGGAGAAGACATATAATTTATGGTTTAAATTGTGGGTCAGTAAACCATGGACCACAGGCCAAATCAAGCCACTAATTACAGAAAAAAAAAAAGTGCACACACTCCCTGCTCTAAATGAGCATTTGTTAAACCATGGTCCATCAGTTTTGCCCAAGTTTCAAGTATCAGTCCAGCATATATAGCCTATTCAAATAAGAATACTAGCATGTTTGCTAAAGCCTAAGATTTTTATATATTCATAAACAGAGCAAGAGATATGTGGTGAACTTCTCATTAAGTCTACTTTAATTCCTTTCTACATTTAGCATATTATATTTTTAATTTGTACTACTTGGAACCTAGAGACAAGGCATTAGGTAGTTGACTTAAATTTTTTTTTGTCCTCCATTTTCTGAAATCTTTAATGCTGGTACATTTGATATAAACCTTTTTTGTGTTGCTAAAACTGGAATCTTCCTTATTCACCTAACTTTATAAACATTAATAATTTCTTATGATTTCACTCTACAAGAATAACATTTCAATTATATTCTCTGCTACCTCTTTTCTCAAAAAGATTTTTCACTTTTATTGGCCAAGAAAAACAATATTCCTTTTCCCTTTAGATAATAGTATTAAGTAATATTTTAAAAATTCAAAAGTGATGTTTGAAAACTCATTTCAGTCTTTTCCTTATCACTCACTGGTAACAAAGGAAGGCTGAAATGCAATAGATGATGAAAAGAATGAATGATTGTAGGCTCATCTTGTATCCCTCTACATTCCCTTTTGCATAAAATCTCATGCACAGCTGTATACCTTCTCCACAGCCAGAATTTCAGTTACAGTGTTCATCCACAAATTACGAGTCTTTTAAAGAGAAAAATTGAAAAAAGAAAGAAGTAGCAATGGAAATAGTTAAGGGACCTAAAGCTTATAGTGGAATAAATGTAGAAAATTTGCAATTAAGGTTGGGAAGAGATAAAAGATATTAAATAATCCTATATAATATAGAGGTAATATGCAAATTGACCCTCATGACCTCACACAAGATGGCTGCCACAAGATGACTGGCAGAGGAGGGTAGCTGGGGTGATCAGGCCAGCAGGGGAGGGCAGTTGAGGAGAGGACCAGGCCTGTAGGAGAGGGCAGTTAGGGGCAAGCAGGCCTTCAGGGGAAGGCATTTTGGGGGACCAGGCCTGCAGGGAGGGCATTTGGGAGGATCAGGCCTTCAGGGGAGGGCAGTTGGAGATTACTGGTTTGGCAGGGCAGGGCAATTGGGGGTTACTGGGCCAGCAGGGAAGGGCAGTTAGAGGTGATCAGGCTGGCAGGGGAACAGTTAGGTGACGATCAGGGTGGCACGGGAATGTAGGGGTGTCGAACTCAATCAGAGAAGGGGCCAAAATCTAAAATCCAGCCTAAATCGCGGGCCGAATGGTTTACTGAACAGTCATAAACTGTCATTGTGATGGAAATGCAGCGGAGTGCAGTGATGACAGCGCGGTGCGGGCCACATTGCAAGGCCTGGCGGGACAGATTTGGCCCGCGGGCCTTGTGTTTGACACATGTGGGTTAGGGGGTGATCAGGCTGGCATGCAGGTGAGCGGTTGGGATCTAGCAGTCCCGGATTGTGAGGGGGATTTCCGACTGTAGGTTTATGGATTGGGCCTAAACTGGCAATTGGACATCCTCTGAGGGGTTCCAGATTGGAGAGGATGCATACTGGGCTGAGGAATACCTCCTCTTCCCCAGTGCATGGATTTTGTGCACCAGGCCTCTAATAACGGTAATGATAATCCCAATATTACTAATTGCTCCCTAAAGCTGAGAGCTGATGCTGTAATACTAGCTTTGTTATAAAGTTAATTATAGAGTTAAGGTTATGTTCCTCATATATCAGAAAAAGGAAAGAGTTTTAAGGAATATTGTTCGGCCCTAGCTGGTTTGTCTCAGCAGATAGAGCATCAGCCTGCAGACAAAAGGGTCCTGGGTTCAATTCCTGTAAAGGGCCCATCCCTGGGTTGTGGGCTTGATCCCCAGTCAGGGGCATGCAGGACGCAGCCGATCAGTGATTCTCTCTCATCATTGATGTTTCTATCTCTCCTTTCCTCTCTAAAATCAATAAAATATATATTTTAAAAAAGAAATATTATTCAAAATAGGTTAAATGAATAAACAACTCAAGAATCTGGCAATATTTACCACAATTATAAATGAACTCTTCCTTTAACTTAGCAAGCTTACTCTGATGCTTTGTCCTACAAATGCAAGCACGTGTATGAAATTACATGTTCAAGTTTATTTGGTGCAGTATTGTTTATAATAACAAAAGATTAGACACAGTACAAGTGTCCAGCAATAAAGGACTGGATCATAAAATCAGAAAGACATTGGAAGTTAGTTCAATGAAAACATGTCACTTGACTTACTATTTTGTACAAAATAATATTGAAAATGCAGGAAAAGGAAACCCTAAAAGTTGCTATTAAGGGATGGCAAATGAAAAATAAATACACATGACTAAATCTTATTATGTTGTAAAATATACTTTATCTTTTAATACATAAAAAATGTATAAGAGCTTGCATAGATTGCCTTGTTTTGTTCCCCATTTCCACTTAATTTATAATCCCATGTAAGCTGAACATGATATTATGGGTGCTCAGGCACATAGTCTCCTGGGTGAGAACTACTCTAATAGATTCTTATAGTTTGTTCCTTCATCTCTGAGGTAAAGGTGGGCTGATTAGTACAAAAGTTTATTACTACTTTTTAAAAATATATATTTTGTTGATTTTTTACAGAGAGGAAGGGAGAGAGATAGAGAGCTAGAAATGTCGATGAGAGAGAATCGACCAGCTGCCTCTTGCACACCCCCTACTGGGGTTGTGCTCGCAACCAACGTACATGCCCCTGACCGGAATCGAACCTGGGACCTTTCAGTCTGCAGACTGATGCTCTACTACTGAGCCAAACCAGTTTTGGCTAATTATTACACTTTTAGTAAAAATTTATTCTTACAGAGGAATAGCATTTTAATTTGTATTATTTGTAACCTACAACATCTTTAAAATGATTCAAGATGGTAAATAGGGATACTTGAGAACTTGCTCTCTGATGAGGTTTGAACAAAATTAGACAAAGCCTGAAATTAAAGCTGTGAATACAGGAAAACTTCTGGAGCCTAGAGTTTGGATTTATGTCAGTTAAGTAGTAAGAATTTCCTAACAGTTTAAATATGTGTAGTAAAGGTTTGTGAAGAATCCAAGATAACACTGAATACTGTGTTTATTTATCATCAATATATATAAAAGCCTAATATGCACAGTGTCCCCTTGGAAGTTCAAGCCGGAGAATGGGAGTTTGATCACTTGCTATGACAAGCACTGACCACCAGGGGGTGGCACGGAATGAAGGGAGGCCTCAGCTGGAGCCCCTGACCAGTAGCCTCTAGGGACCCTACTTGTGCACAACTTTTGTGCACTGGGATTCTAGTAAATTATATTATGGGTTACTGTGTAAAGAAATTAGTCATGAGAGAGAATAAGTTGTATGGGAAAAGATAATTTTGCCTTTCCAGTATTCCCTTGGAGTTAAGAAAATTTAAAATTCTGGACATGCAGAATTTAAGATTATTGATCTATGGCTAGGTTTGATATATAATAGCATGCTCCCTAAAGTAATAAATTTCAAATGCATTGCTATTTAATTGTTTTCTAGCATATACCTCTGGATTTAATTTTCAAATATTTGAAAACTAGACTATTTTTTAAATTATATTTAAGTAATACTTCTTCTTGTTTGGACTATAATATAAAGCAAATGTATAAGTCTTTAATTTTTGCAGACTGCATTTTATAGTAATTACCTATATAATATTAGACTTTAAGTGTTTTTTATAAAGCTTTGCATGTCATTCTTATAACAGTTCTCTATAGTTGAAGAATTATTGCAATTTTTAAGGCCCAGAGGGTTTAATTTCTTTATCCTATCTTAATATTTGTTTTCTTTATTTTTAATGTCATGGTATTGTAATTAGTTAATAGCATGCTTTTTATCTTTTCAGGATATGGCTTTGGTTGCCCCTGAGGCTCCTTCGGAACAAGCCAGAAGAGTTTTTCAAACCTATGATCCAGAAGGTAAAAAAAGATTTTATTATTTTATTGAAAAATATGTTGACTTTGTGTTGCATATCTCTATATACTTGAAATAGGTTGATATTTACCTGAGTTTTAGTCACAAGAGTTGTTGGGTTGCATTTCTTCAACATTTTAAATGAAAAATATGAAAATGGAAACAAAGGGGATACCTAAGTGCTCATCAAGTTCTGACATGGTATGAGGTTAGCATGTTTCTCAGGGTATTGAATTATGGTTACTTGAATCTTCATTTCTTATATTCAGTGTCAAATGGGGATACTACTTTCTGAAAAAGCTCTTTGAAAAGTTAAGTGATGCTCATGCTTTTCCATTTATTTATTAAACAGCTCTTCCAGAATATTTTTAAGTAAGATATAATTGACATGTAACAGACTGTAAGTGCAAGTTATACAACGTGTTGCTCTTACATACTTCTATACTGCAAAATCATTGCTATAGTAGTATTAGCTAACACCACTATAATATCACATAATAGTATTTCTTTTTTATAGTGAGAACAATTAAGTTCTATTCTCTTAGCAACTTTTGAAATTTATAAAACTGTATTGTTAACCATAATAACTATGCTGTGTATTAGTTCTCCAGAACTTATTTCTCAACTAGAGGCCCGGTGCACGTAATTTGTTCATGGGGGGGGGGGGGCGGGTGTCCCCAGGCCCAGCCTGTACCCTCTCCAATCTGGGACCCTTGAGGGATGTCCAACTGCCCAATCCAGTATGATAGGGCCTAATTGGGCAGTTGGGCATCTCTCTCACAATCCAGGACTGCTGGCTCCCAACTGCTTGCCTGCCTGCCTTCCTGATTGCACCTAACCGCTTCTGCCTGGCAGCATGATCACTCCCTAACCACTTCCCTGCCAGCCTGATTGATGCCTAACTGCTCCCCTGCCAGCCTGATTGCCCCTAACTGCCCTCCCTTCAGGCCTGGTCACCCATAATTACCCTCCCCTTTAGGCCTGGTGACCCCCCCAACTGCTCTCCCCTGCAGGCCTGGGTCCCCCCAACTGCCCTTCCCTGTAGGCCCAGTCGCCCCCAACTCCCCTCCTCTACCAGCCTGGTCACCCCTAACTGCCCTCCCCTGCAGGCTTGATCACCCACAACTGCCCTCCCTTGCAGACCTGGTCCCTCCCCTGCTGGTCATTTTGTGTTGGCCATCTTGTGTTCACAGAGGGACAAGATCTTTGACTACATAGAGGCAGCCATCTTGTGTTTTGGAGTGATGGTCAATCTACATATTATTCTTTTATTAGGTAGGATAGAGGCCTAGTGCCCTGAAGGGTGTCCCAGATCAGGGTCGGAGTTCCCTTGGGGTGTGGGGCGGCCAGGGCTAGGGGCGTGTGGTGGTTTGCAGGTCAGCCATGCCCCCCAGCGACCCAAGCTGAGGCCCTAGTATCTGGGATTTATTTATCTTCTATAATTGAAACTTTGTAGCCTTGAGCGAAGGCTTGCAGGCCATGAAGCTTGGCTTCCTCCATTACCAGGGAAACCCAAGCCTCCTGCTTGCTCCATGGCCCTAGCCATTTTTGTTGGGATTTATTTATCTTCTATAATTGAAACTTTGTAGCCTTGAGTGGAGTTCACGGCCAGCCAGGGTGTGTGGGAAGCTTGGTTTCCTCCATTGCCAGGGAAACCCAGTCCTCCTGCTTTCTCTGTGGCCACAGCCATCTTGGCTGGGTTAATTTGCATACTCACTCCTAATTGGCTGGTGGGTGTGGCTTGTGTGTGTAGCAGCGGTATGATGAATTTGCAAATTACTCTTTTATTGGATAGGATTAGTTGCAAGTATCTACTTTCAAATAGCATTCCCTTCTTCCTCAAGCCTTGGTAATCACCATTCTACTATTTTTACAAATTCAGCTCTTTTAGAATTCTATATATAAGTACAAGATTTGTCTTTATCCAACTTCTTTCAATTATAAACCCCTCCAATTCCATTCATGTTAGAAATAGCAAGATTTTCTAATTCCTCCTGCCTGAATAATGTGTGTCTGAGTAATCCATTTTTTAAAATCTTTATTATTGTTCAGATTATTATAGTTAATCCTCTTTTTCCCTCATAACTCCCCTCCACTAAGTTCAAACCTCCCCCTTTCTTCCCCTTCTCCCCCCACTGTCCTTATCCTCATAGGTGTAAGATTTTTGTCTAATATCTTTCCGCGATCGCACACAGGCTTCCTCCCTGAGAATTGTCAGTCCACTCCCTTTCTGTGCCCCTAATTCTATTATGTTCAGCAGTTTATTCTGTTCCTCAGATTTTTTATTCACTTGATTTTTAGATTCACTTGATAAATATGTATTTGTTGTCACTTTGTTATTCATAATTTTTATCTTTACCTTTTTCTTCCTTCTTTTCTTAGAGAATACCCTTCAGCATTTCATATAATACTTTTTTGGCAGTGATGAACTCCTTTAGCTTTTTCTTATCTGTGAAGCTCTTTATCTGACCTTCAATTCTGAATGATAGCTTTGATGGGTAGAGTAATCTTGGTTGTAGGTACTTGCTATTCATCACTTTGAATATTTCTTGCCACTCCCTTCTGGCCTGCATCCTTTCTGTTGAGAAATCAGCTGACAGTTGTATGGGTACTCCCTTGTAGGTAATTAGCTGTTTTTCTCTTTCTGCTTTTAATCTCTCTTTGTCTTTGCCCTATGATGTGTCTTAGTGTGGCCCTTTTTGGATTCCTTTTGTTAGGGATTCTCTGAGCTTCCTGGACTTGTAAGTCTATTTCTTTTCACCAGGTAGGGGAAGTTTTCTGTCATTATTTCCTCAGATAGGTTTCAATATTTTGCTCCCTCTTTTCTTCTGGCACCCCCATAATTTGGATGTTGGTACACTTGAAGTTGTCCCAGAGGGTCCTTATACTATCTTCATATTTTTGGATTATTTTTTCTTTTCCGGATGGGTATTTTTTGCTTCTTTGTATTTCAAATCTTTTACTTGATTCTTAGGATTCTCTAATCTGCTGTTGGATCTCTGTATACTATTCTTTATTTCAGTCAGTGTATGCTTAATTTCTTGTTTGTCCTTTTTCATATCTTTGAGGGTCTCACTAAATTTCTTGGAGGTTTCTAGAAGATGCTTGAGTAACCTTATAACTATGGTTATGAACTCTATATCCAATAGTTTGCTATCCTCCATTTCTTTCATTTTTGCTTCTTTCAAAAATAGTGTAGTCATTGTATAGCTCCACTGTATAGAGGAATTGTCCCCTGCATTTTGGCTGCTTCCATGTGTTGCTAGAGTGGCTTTGTGTGCTAGGTGTCCTATAGGGCACGGTGACTCAGCCTCCCCAATTACCTGAGGTGAACACTCTTGGTGCACCCCTTTGTGGGTTGTGTGCACAGTCTTGTTGTAGTTAAGCCTTGATTGTTGTTAATATCACTGGGGGGAATTGACATCCAGGCCAATTGGCTGTGAGGATCAGTTGTGTCTATGCTGGGAGAACTTCTGATCAGGGTGGGGAGACTGATCAGGGGATGGGCCCCTTGGGAGGAGGGGCCAGAGGAGGTTGGGGGACAGTGATTGTTGCCACAGTAGGGTCGGTTGGCTGCTGTAGTGCACATCATAGTAACTGGTTGTTATGGCCGTTCCATTGTTCTGGTCACTTGGTTTTTATATATATAGATGTCATTTTGCAAATTGGGACAGTTTTGCTTTATCTTTCTGATTTGGTGTCTTTTATTGCCTTTTTTTCCTTTTTCTTTTTTAAAAAACTATATTGATTTTTTACAGAGAGGAAGGGAGAAGGATAGATGAGAGAGAAACACTGATCAGCTGCCTCCTGCACACTCCCCGCTGGGGATGTACAATCAAGGTACATGCCCTTGACCGGAATTGAACCTGGGAGCTTTCAGTCCGCAGGCCAACACTCTATCCACTGAGCCAAACCGGTTTTGGCTCCTTTTTCTTAACTGTTGTGTATAGGACTTCCAATATTATGTTGAATAAAACTGGCAAGAGTGGATACCCTTATCTTGTTCCTGATCTTAAAATTTTGAAGTGCTTTCAGCTCTTCACCCTTGAACGTGGTGATAGTTTTGGTTTTTTTATGTATGGCCTTTGTTATTTTGAGGTACATTCCCACTATGCCCACTTTGTTGGCAGTTTTTATCATAAACGAATGTGGAATTTTGTCAAATTCTTTTTCTGCTTCTAGTAAGAGGATCACTTTTAGACTTCATTTTGTTAATGTGCTGTATCACATGGATTGATTTGTAGATTTTGAACTATCTTTGCACTTCTGAAATAAATCACACTTGACCACGATGTGTGATTTTTAAAAATAATGCATTGTTAAATTTGTATGGTTAATATTTTGTTGAGGTTTTTTGCAACTATGTTCATTGGGATATTGTCCTGTAATTTTTTTTTCTTATGGTATCCTTGTATGTTTTTGGTATCAGGATAATGGTGTCCTCATAATATGAATTTGGAAGTGTTCTTTCCTCTTCTCTTTTTTTTGGAAGAATTTGAGAAGGATTGGTATTAATATTTCTTTAAATGTTTGGCAGAATATGCCAGTGAGGGCATCTGTTCCTGGACACTTGTTGGTTGGAAGGTATTTGATAACTGATTCAGTCTTTTTACAAGCATATCTGTTCTTATTTTCTATCTCTTCATGTTTCAATTCTGGTAATTTGTGTGTTTCTAAGATTTGTTTGATTCTAGATTGTCAGTTTTGTTGGTATGTAATTATTCATGGTACTCTCATGATTTTTGTGGTGTCAATTATATTGTATGCTCTTTCATTTCTGATTTTATTATTATAAATCTTCTTAGGTGAACCTAGCTAAAGGTTTATCAATTATATTTTTTAAATCTAGCTCTTAAATTTCATTATTTTTTTTTGTTGTCTATTTAGTCTCTATTCTATATATTTATTTTCTGATCTTTATTCTTTTCTTCTTTCTACTAATTTTGGATTCATTGTTTGTCTCTTTCTAGTTCCTTGACATAAGTATCCCAACTTTATCCCTCAA